AAAGACCATTGGAAAGCGATCATTCGGAAAGTGCTACTGTTTCTTGGAAGTCCATGAAACAAACATGTATCGCACAATCCACAATGGAATCTGAATTCATTGCTTTAGACAAAGCAGAAGAAGAAGCAAAATGGCTTTACCATTTCTTAGAAGACATTCCAATATGGCCAAAACCTGTGCCAGCTATTTGTATTCATTGTGATATTCAATCTGTAATAGGCAGGGCACAGAATCATATGTATAATGATAAATCACAATATATTTGTCGTCGACATAATACCATAAGACAGTTGCTCTCAAATGGAATAATCTCAATAAAATATATAAAATCTAAAGAGAATATTATGGATTCGTTAACAAAAGGTTTGACAAAAGAGCAAGTGTATAGTTCATCAAAGGAAATGGGATTAAAGCCTATTACATAAGAGTCATCATAATGGTAACCCTACTTAAATGACTGGAGATCCCAAGAACTAAGTTCAAAGGGACAATTAAGTTATATGTGGCACGCCAGAAATCACTAAGGGATTAAAATTCCCTACCCATTCCTATGGTGAGAGTGATATCTGCAACATGTGTTGTATGCAGGGGTTTAAGGATAAGTTTCGCTTTTAATGATTACTTATATCTTGATTTAGGCATAAAAATCAAGACGAGTATAAGAGATACTCACAATAAGAATCACCTATATGAGCGTCGAACTGGGGGCCGGTTCTATGAGAATAAAGAAGCTAAATTCTCTAGAAGCACTCATGAATAACTAGGAGTGTTCAAGGTCAAAATGAAGAACCGTGAGAACCAAGATGTGTCAGAAGATATTTAGATATTTTGCGTGAAATCTATTGTCTTGGCTTACACAAACGGTTGAACAATTCAAAGCATCGCATCCATTGGTTAGCTAGTAAGTCCGATAGGTTATTACTAGGAAAGGTTCAAGGCTAAAAGCTACCTATCCTGATGCAAGACATTTTCGATTTATACTCTTTCAACAAATTCTGAATATTGTTGTATTTCCGTTGTCATCAAATTCCATTCATGTAGGGGATTGTTAGAAATGGTTTTGGAAAAATTTAGATTTTTCCTCAATTTTGATTTATTTTTTAGATGGGACCCATGCGCCAAAGTTGGCAAGTCTAAGTGGTAACACGTTCTATGCCGTGTTGTGATTCATGTAGTATATTTGGTTGTTCAAAACCATTATCGAGTAAATAGGGAATTGAAGCGAAAGTGAGCTCCGTGGAAATGGAGTTTTTGTGGAAATTTCTTAGGTTCGAATTAAAGGCTTGTCTCGTATTGGTTTGGTGGGCAAATTTTTGTGGGCTTATAAGGCCTGAGTTTGCAATTTGGAGAGGGTCTCAAGGGGTATCCCAAGTTTATAAAAAAAAAAGGTTATGGGTAAAATAGACTAGACCCATTAGACTAAAAAATAAACACACGCGCGTACGCTACCGTCCGCTCGGTCGATTGGGCGAGTTGGGCTGGGCATAGGCGCAGATGCGTGGTATGAGGTTGGGTTGGGCTTGTCCGACCCAATACTTATCTTTTTGGGCAAGAAATATTTTATTTGTTTAGAAATAAAATCTGTCCGTTTTTATTTCAAATTCTGGTTGGAAATAAAATTTAAATTTTGGTTTGCACCTCTTCAGAATTTCTGTACAATTTCATATCTGTCCAAACAGATCCAAATCTGTTCAAATTCAAATCCAAAACAATTTTTTATCTATTTGAAATTCAAACCAGATCTGTCCAAACAGGTACCATACCTGTTGGATTCAAGCCAAACAGCCACCATTTTCATCTATAAATAGACAGTCCCTCATTTGATTTTTTCACTTGAATTTTCGTCCAAATTCTGCTATTGCTCTCTCTGCATTTTTGCTGCATTATTTTTTTGTGAGAAAGAGTATAAACACAAAAGTAATTGATCATTTTATCTTGGGAGATAGACGTTCATAATTTGAAAGCACCGTGGAGAAGATGAATCTGTCTTAAGGACACAGTGTTAAACACTAGACTTGAGGAGATGACAAATCTGTCTTAAGGACACGGTGTTAAACACTGGACTTGATCAGAATTTTATTCAATAAATACATAAGGTTAGTAATTAATTTACTTTCTGTTTTATTTATTTGTTTTTATCAGATTATGATTTTGTTTTTGTAACAAAATAAGAATTTATTGTTTTATATTATTTTCTTTGCTGGTTTGATTTTTGTAATCAAACAGTCTCTCTCCTTCTTTATTTCTTTTGTTGGTTGTTAAGTACACAAATATTATTTATTCTTAATACAGTAAAAATTGACTAACAACATTTTATCTAATTAACTATTTTAACTTATTTTGTCTTTTTATAGATTTTAGTTTTTTTTTTTTTGAAAAAAAAAAAGAAGAACCCAATTTGCCAAACACCCCAAAATAAGCAGTTATCCCATTACTTGGAAAGCACCAGCATCCTATGCATAGAATTGAAGCCTAAATGACATGTTGAAGCATTGAAGCATGTCCATCTAAAACAGAAAAAGAGTAAACAATAAGGCAGATTGTAGCGTATTCCATGACTCTTATTCTGTAATCACTACTATATGAAAGAGAGAGAGTATAAAACAAACAATAAAAATTTGAAGCATTCAATCATGAAGGAAAAAAGTAGTCATGAATCACTTTAACAAGCCTTGCAGATTTGACATAGAAAATGGTCGGATCAAATTCAAAACCAGAGGGGTAAGCCCACGAACAGGACACTCATGGTGTGTTGACAATTGTTTTAAAAGAAACATGGACTTTGTTCATGAAGGTTTCAATCAATCTAACCACAAACTTCTAGCAGTCCTATTCTGCAACCACCAACACATCAAAATCAAGGTGTGCAACTCAAGCAAAAACACAATACAACAACAATTGAAATGCTAATGTCAATTATCATCATTTGTCCATATCTCTCCATATGTATCTCAACACTAGTATAAAATAGAGAATTCATAAATTGGGTTCAAAATAAGATTCAAATTTCAATCAAAAACGCAAGTCAAATATCTAAAATATATATATTTTAGTTAAGTTTTTTACTTTTTAAATGTACCAAATTTAGATCACCTAAAATTTAAATATTTGTAAATTTTTTTGAAATAAATTCACTAAAACAAAAGCAAGTTAAGAAAAAAAAATAATAACTCAAAACTAACTTTCTTCTACTAAACCAAACAAGGCCTGCGGAGGGCTTTAGTAAGCGTTGCGACTCTGAAGCCCATTTATTTGGCCCATGTTTTTTTGGGGCTGAGCTTAATTTTAATTTGGGCTTATTGAGCTCCATCAAAAAATAAAGCCCGAATTCATTTTTCCTTTCTTTTCTACTTTTAATAGGTGTACTAGGAGTAGATCTAACACAAGATTTTCACAGAATAGAATAGAGATGGAGACTCGCACTTTGCAGAAGGTAGACGCAACAAGACCATCAAAATATTTTTCACTCAAACAAATGGTTGGAGTATCATAAGTCTTTGTTTTTTCCCCTACAAACAAAATAAGCAGTTATCCCATTACTTGGAAAGGACCAGTATCCTATGCATAGAATTGAAGCCTAAATGACATGTTGAAGCATCGAAGTATATCCATCTAAAACAGGAAAAGAGTAAACAATAAGGCAGACTGTAGCATATTCTGAAAGAGAGAGTATAACAAAAACAATAAAAACTCGAAGCATTCAATCAAGAAGGAAAAAGGTAGTCATGAATCACTCTAACAAGCCATTCAGATTGGACATAGAAAATGGCAGGATCAAATTCAAAACCAGAGATGTAAGCCCCTGAACAGGACACTCATGGTGTTGTTGACAATTGTTTTAAAAGAATCCTAGACTTTGTTCATGAATGTTTCAATCAATCTAACCACAAACTTCTAGCAGTCCCATTCTGCAACCACCAACACATCAAAATCAATCTGTGCAACCTCCAAGCAAAAACACCATACAACAACAATTGAAATGCCAACGTCAATTATCATCATTTTGTCCATATCTCTCCATATATATCTCAACATTTGTATACAATAGAGAATTCATAAATTGGATTCCAAACACGGTTCAAATTTCAATCAGAAACTCAAGTCAAATATCTTAAAAAAGAACAAGTCTAATTCTTTACAACCTAGGATTGAAAACCAGGTCGTCATTAATTTGTAGCCAGGCAAACGCACACTTCTACAATTCAAACCAAGTCCCCATTCTTGATATTCATAACATTATCTTGTAATTGTGATCCCAAGCTCCACAAATTATCAACCATCGCAACCCTCACATGTCTCACAAATCACAAATCACAAACTGCCACTCTTCACATGGTGTCATCCACTCAATTTTCACCACAAAATGTTTTTGAGGCATAGGCAACAGATAAGCCCCAAGCCCACAAACTTGTGGCTACGAAATGTCCGTCCAGTAAAAAGGAAGAATCAAAAGATTATTCCTTTGCTTACCAAGGATGGTGGTTTAGATAAAACAACAATAATCTACTTTACAGCACCAAATACAAAATTCCAATACTTTTTTTGTTTCTACTTGAAATCACTATCACATGATTCTCAAAATTCAAGCAAAAGGCAAAAAAGATTTAACCAACTCATCAATTTAACAAATCATGCCATTTCTTGTTCAACCCAACAGTATTTCAAATTAATAGTAACAATCATAAAATTATTGCACACTAAGTTTACGCGTTTTTTAGCTGTTTCTTTCCCTTTGATCGTCCAATCGAGCCCATCTTTGGTCAAATACGCAAGCTGGAATCTGGAGAAAATGCCACGAGACCCCCGACAAGGAGATTACAGAATCTAGTTTTCTAAACTTACCAAAAGAAGTCGACCCCATTTCCATTTCTTTTTCAGCACAAGGGGACATAATCACAATCAATATTCTAACTATCAAGGCCCTACACAGGATCACAATTGAATAAATAAAGCATAATTTTTAAAAGTAACCAATTAAAGATACTGCACTAACAAGAAAGTTTGAGAGAAAGTAAAAAGAGAACAGAATCACTGAAAACTACCATAAAAAAAAGATATATAGAGAAGGAATTTGATACCGAATTTACACAGACATATTCGGTCACATTCCAATTTCTCCACAAAATCCCAAAAGACTCTTGTCCTGCTTCTTACATCTTGTTTCATCAGGAAAACCAAAAGGGAAATAAACCAAGAAAATAAAAACAAAAAAATTCATAAACAGACCACCTCCACGACAAACGAACCACTAAAACACCAATAGAGATGCTAAAGACTAATAATCTCAAGCACAGCAATAGGACCACTGCTCATCCTCACTGGCGGCAGAATCAGCAGTCAAGCAGCATGAAGAAGCCGCGGCAAGGTAAGGCATGTTGTGGAACGAGCGAGCAAGCCCACTAGCAAGCGATATATGGGCCATACCATCATCATCCTCGTGCACAAATTCCTCTGCGCGGTGCTTGAGCGTCTGAAACATGAGCTCGGGCTCGTGCTGCATCACACGGAGCACATCGCTGCACGATGGTCCAGGCACTGCACGCGTCACCGCAAAGCTGTGGGGTCCATCGCTTTGCAAAACACGCACAACGCTTGGACCGCCAAACAGGTTGTGAACTCCCCCGAGCGCTTCCTCATAAGCACCACCCAAGAACATCCCCAAATAGTACCGCCCACCACTGGAAAACCCACCGTCCCCTTCCAATTCGTGCAAAGGCAAGCTTGACTCGCCCCCGATGAATTTGTTGATCTTTCCATCACTGTCACAAGTCAAATCCGACAATATCCCCCTTGTGCTCGGCCTTTGGTCGAGCCTATGAATCGGAACGATAGGGAAAAGCTGCCCAATACCCCAGAAATCAGGAATAGAAGTGAACACCGATAAATTAACATGGTATGTGCGAATTGGATCCGACAATCCTATCTCCTTTGAGACCAATTCACATAACCCATCAACAGCAGCGAGTTGTTCAATACCCAAAGATCCTTCCTTGAACTGTTCAACACATCTCTGCTTCAGCTGATCAGCATAGAGCAAGCAAGTATCGTACTCACCACGAATTGCAGCCGCAGACAACTTCTGATAATCGGCGAACAAGTCCTCCGGGAGCCCCTCCACGAAGTAGTGAATGCTGAGAGTATTCATCGCCGGCGCATTGTATGCTCCACCCGAAACAGCTTCGAATATCAAAATGGAATGATGAGAGACAATTGCTCGACCACTTTCGCTGCATATTACTGGGTGCTTCACCGATTTTCGATCGCAAACGAACCGAACAGCTTGAACAACCGCAGCAGCATACTCTTCAAGCCCATAACTAACCGAAATATCAGATTTTCCAGACTTCGAACCATCATAATCAATCCCTAGTCCGCCACCAATATCAATGACTTCCATGGAAGCTCCGAGGCGGACTAATTCGCAGTAGATCTGAGCAGCCTCGCCGACTCCATCGGCTAGCAAGGTGGTTGTGGGTATCTGAGATCCGATATGAAAATGCAGTAATTGTAAACAATCTAACATTCCAGATTGTTGAAGCTTCTTCACAACCCTCAAAATCTGGGTAGTTGTCAATCCAAACTTCCCTTTCTCTCCCGAAGTCGATCCGAAATGGCCTGAATGTTTCGTCCTCAGCTTCGCTCTAACCCCAATGACTGGCCTCACAGAGAGCTTTTTGCTCAGATCAATCACCAAATCAACCTCTTCTTCTTGCTCAAGCACAATCACTGTATTCAAAGCTAGTTTTCTTGCAACCAAAGCAAGCGAAATGTACTCAACATCTTTGAACCCGTTACAAACCAACAGAGCTTCAGTGCTTCCCTTGCAGAGACAGCTCATAGCGAGAAGAAGCTCGGGTTTTGACCCTGCCTCCAACCCGAATCGGAAACCCGCCCCGAATTTCACGATATCTTCAACCACGAACCTGTCTTGGTTGCATTTCACAGGATAAACGCCTTGGTAATGCGATTCGTAGCCTTGCGATTGGATCGCGAATTCAAACGCGGATTGAAGGGATTCGAGGCGGTTCTTCAACACGTCCGGTAACCGAACGATGAGAGGGAGCTGCAAGCCGAGTCCGCCGGCCGATTTCGGGTCCGAAGCCTTCTTCACGACCTTCAAGAGATCGATCTCTTGGTGAGGCAGCGTGGCGGGTCCAAACGGCTTGACGGAGATGTTGCCGGAGGAGTTGACGGAGAAGTACGGAGCACCCCATAAATCGATTTTGTAGAGAGAAGCTGAGTGAGACGGAGACCAATGGGGGTTCTCAACGGCGGTGGCGGTGGTGGTGATGGTGGTTGGTGGTGGCGGAGGTACGCCGGAAAATTGGTCCGGCGAGGGAAGAGAGGGAAAGGCGTAGCCGGCGACGGCGGCGTCTAAGCAACACGCCACAGCAGGCATGATTTTTTTCTCTTCTCTTCCCCGATCTGTTTTATGGGGTGAAAAAGAATTAAAGAATTGGGTTTCGGAATTTAGGTTTTTGGTGTGTAGGTGGGGGCTTTAGAACCCGCCGAGGCCGGAGCCCCGGCTACCCCCTCAAAAGAAGCAGAAGAGATCGGAGCAAAAAGAACGTAACCCTAACTCACCCTTACGAACTACAACAATCCCCACACCGAGCTCTCAGAAGAAGAAAATCTCGTGAGATTAAAAAAAAAATGGAGGAACACGAATTGAGAACGCAAATCTAAGAAACGAAAACAAATCTCACCATACAGAGGTTATCGAAAACGAAGGAAAACGAAGAGCGATACAACTGGGTCAAGGAAACGAGAGAAACGGCCGGGAAAGTAGCAGGAAAAGGCGAGAAAATTGATGGAAAACTTTCGCGGAAGCCTAACGGCGGAAGGAAAATTAAAGATCGGAGAAAGTAATCTAGGGTTTCGTTATATTGTGTTCTAGAGAGAACGGTTTATCAATGTGAAATTTGCGAGAATTGCATGAAAGGCGGAGGTCCTTTATATAGGGGGGCGAGGGGTTGGGCTGTGGCCCAGCCTGATTTACTTTTTTAGCTTAATTAACAAAAATTGGTGGAAATCTTAAATATTTTAATATTTGATAATTTTTTGTTTAGAGTAGTATCTAGTATTACTTCTTAATTAAATATCAATTTCTAATTTCTCATGTGTATTTTTATCAATATTGCACGTACTTTTTCACGAAACACACATCATGTGATATTAGATGAGTCTCACACTCATGAGAGGAAGTGTGTCCAATATTTGAAATCCTAAACTTCTTCTTGTTATTGAGATGTAATTTTTTCCCTCTCTTGTTAAACTAATTGGAAACATCAAAACTCTACTTGTTTTTGACCCCAACCCCCCCCCAAACCACAACTCTATTGTGGCCGAAACCAATGATTGGCAATTCATATCCAATTTTACCCCCTTCCACAAAAACCCAATTCATCTCCTTTGCTAGTTGGAAGCCATCCAGTGTTAATAGATTCAAACTCAATACAAACGGTGTGACCAAAGGTAGCCTTGGACCTACCTCAGCTGGTGGTCTCATCAAGGATACCATAGGCAAATGGGTTGTTGGGTTCACTCATAAAATTGGTAGTTCTTCTAGTGTTGCAGCTGAATTATAGGGACTTAAGCCCTGTTTGGTAGAGCTGTGGGAAAGTACTTATAGCTTATGCCTAAACAGCTTATAGCTTATAACTTTCAGCTTAAGCTGATTTCCAGCTTATTCTTAAAGCATCTCCTGCCCCACTCAAAGAATAAGCTGATTTCTGACTTCCACAAAGCTATAAGCTATAAGCTATAAGTTATAAGCTAAACCAAACACATCAAAATAGCTTAAATTAAACTGAAAGCTGAAATAAGCTGTAAATAATTTCTGCCAAACAGGCACTTAGAGATGTCTTTCAACTAGTACTTGACCTCAACATTAGAAATATTGATGTTGAAATAGATGCATTAACAGTCAACACACCTCATTATGGGCAATACTACATATCACCATCAACTTAGTAATTTTGTTCATGACTGCTGGTGCCTTATGAACCAACCGGAAGTGGTGGAAATAAAACATGTATATCACGAAGCAAATGGTTGTGCTGATCTACTAACCAACAAAGGAAGCTTGAGAGAAGGCGGCTTGTTTATTTATCATGTCGTTCCTTTATGTATTAAGCAAAAACTTTATGATAATGCTCGAGGGATCCAGTATCGCAGACAATTGTATGAATACTTTGAAATATCAATTATCAAAATCATAATTTACCAAAACAAAAAAAGAAAAGAAATCCCAACATTATTCTATAAATAATTATACTTCTAATGGACGTGCAAGTCTGAACAAATAAACTATAACGTCACAACTTTCACGGATATAGAGTTACTTGCACTTTTATAAAATTACGAAAATCATGTTTCAATTACTATCTTTTTAGAGAAATACTAATGAATAGTACGATCTATACAACTAATGTAATTGTGAAAAATGAAATAATAAATCTAATAAATACACAAAGAAGGTCATCATAGTATTATTCAAATTATAATTATTTTTGAGTTATTTAAATATACTTTTCTTTTTTATAATTGTAATTATTAAATTTTGGTTTTTAATTCTAGTGTATTTATGTTTTCTTTGGTAGTTGGGTTGGGTCTTGACTCTGAGATTCTTTCATGGAGTGAATCAGCGTCGGGTTGCCGCGTGGCTTGTGTGTGTTTTGTGTGTGTGGGCCCGATTTTCGGTGTGAGATTCTTCATCTCGAGGTTTCATTGGTTTATTTCTATTTCTCGCGATAGAATAACGACATGTTGTGTGTTGGGAAAGTGCGGCGAAGTTTCTCTCTAAGCCTTGTTTGGAATCCGAATTTTGACTTGAAAAGACACTATAAATTGTTAAATTATTTTTTAATAAAAAATTAGAGAAATGTTAGAAGTAAAGTTAGAAATTTCAAAAATTTATTAAATTTTTAATTATAAATCTTATGTAGGTATAGGACTCACATAATATATGAATTTCACACCTATATAAGACATTTAATAAAATTGTCGGGTGCCTAACATTTTTCAAATTAATCTGCAAACACCTAACTACGAGAAGTTATTTGATGGTGCAGAAACATTGCTCTATATATTCCATTTAGAAAGGACATTTGTTCATTTGTTACTTAACAGAAGAGTATTATGTTAGTGTGTTTAATCGATGGTAAAGATTTAATAATTACAAATCTTTAAAAAATTAAAAAAAAAAATTGAGAAAGAATAGAAGACTATTGAATAGGCATTCATTCATGTGGTAATTTTTGTTCAATAATAATACAGTAATAATAATAAATTTTATTATTTTAACCAATAAAAAATCTAATTGAAGGACTACATTAGGTTAGAAAGAATATTTAGTGTTCCACGGGTACTATTTGTGCATGTTTCTCACCAATTATTATACATCATATCTCTTGCTATTATTTAATCATTCAACATAAAATTATGAATCTCACATTCTCTTTCAATCACAAAGTTTTTGAAGACTTATGTGATCGTACCCTAAGACCACCAAATAACGTTTCCTTAGATTATTCTCCAAATCATTTCTATTTAGGTTCCATTTATTTCGACGTAAAATATTTTATGTAAAAAAAAGATTTTACTTTTATTTTTTCGGAGGTCCTTTATATAGGGGGGCGAGGGGTTGGGCTGTGGCCCAGCCTGATTTACTTTTTTAGCTTAATTAACAAAAATTGGTGGAAATCTTAAATATTTTAATATTTGATAATTTTTTGTTTAGAGTAGTATCTAGTATTACTTCTTAATTAAATATCAATTTCTAATTTCTCATGTGTATTTTTATCAATATTGCACGTACTTTTTCACGAAACACACATCATGTGATATTAGATGAGTCTCACACTCATGAGAGGAAGTGTGTCCAATATTTGAAATCCTAAACTTCTTCTTGTTATTGAGATGTAATTTTTTCCCTCTCTTGTTAAACTAATTGGAAACATCAAAACTCTACTTGTTTTTGACCCCAACCCCCCCCCAAACCACAACTCTATTGTGGCCGAAACCAATGATTGGCAATTCATATCCAATTTTACCCCCTTCCACAAAAACCCAATTCATCTCCTTTGCTAGTTGGAAGCCATCCAGTGTTAATAGATTCAAACTCAATACAAAACGATGTGGCCAAAGGAGCCTTGGACCTACCTCAGCTGGTGGTCTCATCAAGGATACCATACGCAAATGGGTTGTTGGGTTCACTCATAAAATTGGTAGTTCTTCTAGTGTTGCAGCTGAATTATGGGGACTTAGAGATGCCCTTCAACTAGTACTTGACCTCAACATTAGAAATATTGATGTTGAAATAGATGCATTAACAGTCAACACACCTCATTATGGGCAATACTACATATCACTATGAACTTAGTAATTTTGTTCATGACTGCTGGTGCCTTATGAACCAACTGGAAGTGGTGGAAATAAAACATGTATATCACAAAGCAAATGGTTGTGCTGATCTACTAACCAACAAAGGAAGCTTGAGAGAAGAAGGCTTGTTCATTTAACATTTTGTTCCTTTATGTATTAAGCAAAAACTTTATGATAATGCTTGAGGGATCCAGTATCACAGACTATTGTATGAATACTTTGAAATATCAATTATCAAAATCATAATTTACCAAAACAAAAAAAGAAAAGAAATCCCATCATTATTCTATAAATAATTATACTTCTAATGGAGGTGCAAGTCTCAACAAGTAGACTATAATGTCACAACTTTCGGGGATATTACTTGCACTTTATGAAATTACAAAAATGATGTTTCAATTACTATCTTTTTAGAGAAATACTAGGGCTGAGCAAGGAATCCGTGAAATCCGTAATCCGATCCAGTCCAGTCCAATCCGATAGGTTTGGATTGGTTTTTTGAATCCGTGGTTCGGTTCCGGATTGAATAATTAAAAATCCGTAGTTCACGGATTGGTTCCGGATTGAATCCCACGGTTCCGGATTGGAACCGATCCGGACCGTATACAAATAGTCTATATTTTTATTATACATCCTCCCCCATAGTATCTTTTCTTATTCTATGTAAAATCTAAACTCAAACCTAAAATCGTATAATATCTTCTTTTATTACTTTTGTTTGTTAGTTTTAAGTTTTAATTTGCAATGGTCTAAATACTTATGGTGAAACCAGTTTTCTTATGGTTGTTTAAATTCTAGAACAGTATGTCGTTATTATAGAAAAACATGTTGCTATTATGGAACTAATATAGCGCTATGTTTATATTTTTATGAAATTCAAGTGTTATATATATATTTTTGTTATTTAATTATGTGAATCCGTGGTCCTAAACCGATCCAATCCGTATTTAAATGGATTGGTTCGGATTGGTTCCATGATTTAAACGGATTGGATTGGTTCCAATTTTTTAGGAACCGTAAATAACGGATTGGTCCTGGTTTTATCCCAATCCGGTCCAATCCGGACCATGCTCACCCCTAAGAAATACTAATGAATAGTACGATCTATACAACTAACATAATTGTGAAAAATGGAATAATAAATCTAATAAATACACAAAGAAGGTCATCATAGTATTATTCAAATTATAATTATTTTTGAGTTATTTAAATATACTTTTCTTTTTTATAATTGTAATTATTAAATTTTGGTTTTTAATTCTAGTGTATTTATGTTTTCTTTGGTAGTTGGGTTGGGTCTTGACTCTGAGATTCTTTCATGGAGTGAATCAGCGTCGGGTTGCCGCGTGGCTTGTGTGTGTTTTGTGTGTGTGGGCCCGATTTTCGGTGTGAGATTCTTCATCTCGAGGTTTCATTGGTTTATTTCTATTTCTCGCGATAGAATAACGACATGTTGTGTGTTGGGAAAGTGCGGCGAAGTTTCTCTCTAAGCCTTGTTTGGAATCCGAATTTTGACTTGAAAAGACATTATTATAAATTGTTAAATTATTTTTTA